CTTGATCAATCGGGCCATCGTTCGACTTGAAAAAAATGTTATAAAAAGAATAAAAAAAAAAGAAGAAATATCGAACTATGGTATTGATGATGCCCATCATTATGTATTTTTGCATTCATTGTTAAACATATAATGAACATTTTTGTTTGCATGAACTAGTGTTTTTTGGGGGTGGAGATTTCATTTTGCAGTCCACGAGATGAAACCTCTGAAAGTCGTGTGCTGGCCGGAAACCTCCTCCGGTGGTGGCGCTTGTGGCGGCCGAGCGGCCGTGGGACCCTCAGAGCAGCCTCTCGTGTAGTTATTTGCCGGTTGGGGCCTCGAATATCGAGGAATAATGTTTCTTAGCATTACACCGTAGCTTATGAATGTGAAGCCATCTGCCGAAGCCCAAATAAACGCGCACATTGCCACCAACAGGGCGGCACGGACCGTCAAGGCCGCCATATTTGCCGTGTTTTTGCCTCTTTTTTTTTTTTATTTTCTTTTGCTTTGTTTGGTTCTAATGTATTCCTTGTTTTTTTTTTGTTTTTTTGAGTTTTTCCTATTTTTGTGGTTGGAGTTGTGTTTAATTCTGGATTAGTTCATCTGTTGATGTGTTTCTAATGGACTAAAATGTGTAGTTTAGGACAACCTTACAATTAATTTGTTGAGGAGTCAAAATTCTTTGTAAAATATAAGTGTGTATATATATATATATATATATAAAACAATTGCAAAATATACTAAGTTTTACGTTGATTTATAATTTTTGTTTTTATTTGAGTCTTAAATTGTACTATTTTTTGGTTTGTAACTTGTTTATAAATGATTTATGTATAAATTGTTAATCTCGTATTGTTGCAAAATAAAATAAAATAAAATAAAATCAAACGATATAGCACACATATAATCATAGTTTTAAACCTGGCCCGATAATCGTCCTGGGCAGGTACTTGGATCACCGGGTCAATCGTTGAACTAGATAATTAATTTTAAATTTTTTAAAATTATATATAGAGTATTTTTATCATATAATCCTCCCTATATATTATTCCAGAATGTGCTGAGCTTACATGACTGCTTCTGGTGCTGGCGAAGAATCATGCTTCGTAATTAGGTTTGGACAAATAATATTATATATTAATAATTAATAATCTAGATTCGGGCATTCCATAAATATTATTTAGCTAATTTAGGTATTTTAATATCAACTGTACTAATATAACCCTTTACTTCTTTGTAATTTTAGATAGTGAGTCACTAAGTGACTAATATATCACTGACTTTTGATTTGTTTCCTACAATTAACTATTGAATTGTAAATGTATTTTAAAAGTTGATAACTTTTGTATTTCTTATCGCTTTTACATATATAATATATTAAATTAATCATCTTTTGATGATCTTCGATTTGACATTCATATTGTATATATGAAATAAATAAATTATATTTATCTTTATAATAATAAAACTAATAATATTTACAAAAATTCATTAGAAAAATAATTTTATTTCTCAATTGATATATTTATGTTTAATGTAGTTATACGTTTTAAGTATGAAAATTTTTATAATATAACACAAGTAAGTCGCACAAATAAAAAGTGTCATACTAAATATAATAATATAAATATTTTTAAAATATATTAAAATTTTTAACTACCTGTTTTCAGTAATTTTAGATTTTAAGAAAAAAAAATTAGCAACCACCCGTGTAATACACGGGCGTTGTACTAGTTATACATAAAAGTAACAAAATAAAATGATTTGTATATTAAATTCGTACATTAAAGTGTTAATAATATGAATCTAATGATATATATTTACTATATAAACATACACCCATAGTTTTAATTTTAAAAACAAAATAAATATATATATACATGGGCCGGGCAATGCTCCGGATTGGCCGGGTCAAGCAGTGTTGGCCGGGTCTTTGTTGCCCAGTCCAAAAGTCCATCCAGATCGGTTCCGACTCCGGGTCGACTGGGGCCCGGGTGGGCCAGGTAAAAAAACTATGCATGTAATGCACATTATGGTCCTTTTAAATGGAGTTGTATGGTTTAGCATTTTTAGTTAATGCATATTATGAAAAGTAGTTCGTAGTAGGTTACATATTTTCCATATCTATTAAGTTTGTGAACTGAATTAATGCTCTTCTGTATAATAATTAATACTGCATTACAATATAAAACTATACGATTTTGTTGAAGAAGCAACAGTGATGATTTTACTATAAAAATGTGCTATTACTCGAGGGACCACTTCATTGAAATCAATACTTCAAAAATACCATATGATGAAATTAATGGCCTCCCTTTCAGGTTTAATTACAAAATGCAGGTGTTATTGTAAACTATATTGAGTATGTCACTGATTTTATTTATTTATTTATTTATTTATTGGTTCAGCTATAAGCTATTATCACTCATAACCTCGATAAATATTTACAAAATAGCCAATATTATGTGCTTGTTTGGGTACATTTTTGTAAAAGTCCATTTATTAAAATGAACTTCCATAAAATCGATTTTTTCAAAACTATCAGTTCTTGACTTAAGTTTTAGGGAAATGCTACAGTCTCGTTACTGAATTATTCTGTCGGGATTTATAACCGTTAGATCAACTATCCTGATGATCTAACGGTTACAAATCCCGACAGAATGGTTCCGTAACGAAATCCTAGAATCTCCCTTTTTATAGACATTTTTTCTATTTTAAATTATCAAATTTGAATTATTTACCAAATGAATTTTTTCACCCAAAATAGATTTACTAACTTCAAGACATTTATCATTTTCATGAGATATTGTAACAGCAGAGCAAAGAGTGTGCACGCATTTCTTACTCATCACTGTCAAAACCCAACACACTAAATCCATGGACACAGCAAACCCAAAACATTTCCTACTCCTCACAGCAAAGCTTTCCTCATTAATGGCAATTAAAAGCTCCTCTCAACTCCCCAACACACCCCCAACAAAACCAAAAAAAAAACAAAAAAAAAAAAAACATTTATTCATCACCTCCCAACAAACTTTTCCCCCTTTCCGCGCAAACAAATTTATATAAACCTCCCAAAAATCACACGTCCACCAACCACAAAAAATGTCCTGCTCCGCCGCGCCAGCTGCATTCCTGCTTCTATTCGCGTTCGCCGCCGCCTCCGCGGCAAAGGTCCCGGCGGTGATCGTGTTCGGCGATTCCTCGGTCGATGCCGGGAACAACAACCAGATTTCGACGGTGCTGAAGAGCAATTTCCGCCCGTACGGCCGCGATTTCTTCGGCGGGCGGCCGACGGGGAGGTTCTCCAACGGGCGGATCCCGCCGGATTTCATATCGGAGGCGTTCGGGCTGCGGCCGTTCGTGCCGGCGTACCTGGACCCGCAGTACAATATCACGGATTTTGCGGAGGGAGTTTGCTTCGCGTCGGCGGGGACTGGTTTTGATAACGCCACCTCTAATGTCCTCGTAAGTGTTTCACAATTGATACAATGTGATTTATTATTTATATCCTTCTTTTTGTGTGTTAATTAAAAGCTGTAAATCATGATTAGCAGCAACTTAACGTGATGTCTAAAGACGATAGATTAATTTTGTAATTATATAGATAATATTGAATATAATAGAATTGAATTAAACAAACGTGCACATTTTTTAACTGAACTATATAAACAAAAGTATGTTATTTTCCCAGGCATATGTATTTTTGTCAAAATGCCATTATGCATCACTTTCAAATAAAAATGTGACACCCTAAGTTAATATGTATATGTAACTAAAATATAATTCATGCTACCAACAAGAGTTGGCTCAAGTGGTAAGCAGCTTGATGTCGCTTAAGCAAAGTCTCGGTTCGAGTCCTTGTGAATGCAGAAAACCTTTGTTAGGAGACTCACCCACCATTGGCAATGGTGTGCGACGGTCGGAAAAAGCTCCGGATACCGTGGCTGGCTACCAAAAAAAATATATATAATTCATGCTCAAAGCATTCAAATCAATCTATAACACAGATAGTGTCACACCAAATAACTGAAAAAAAAATATGCTAGTACCATCTTTATTCAGAAACACATTAATGAAATCAACAAATCAAATTCAAATTAAGCTGGTGATCAATTCAATTTCTGCACATTTATTTTTATTTTTTTATTTTTTACTTTTGCAGAATGTGATCCCACTTTGGAAGGAATTGGATTATTTCAAGGATTACCAGAACAAACTCCGGGCCCACGTAGGCAACGCGAAAGCCGACTCGATAATCAGCGAGTCTCTATATATCGTCAGCTTAGGCACGAACGACTTTCTCGAGAACTACTACACTCTCCCGAGCACGCGCTCCAAGTACACGGTCGACCAGTTCCAAGACTTCCTTATTGGGCTTGCCGAGAGATTCATCAGGGAAATGTACGGGCTTGGGGCCCGAAAGATTTCCCTTACCGGGCTGCCCCCTATGGGCTGCCTGCCGCTAGAGAGGACCACGAATTTCGTCAATGGTAACGGGGATGGATGCATGGATGGGTACAATGCCGTTGCCCTGCATTTTAACGAGAAGCTGAGTGGTCTGGTGAAGAAGGCCAACGAAGATATGCCCGGGATCAGGCTCGTTTTTTCCAATCCTTATAATGTCTTTATGGGAATCATTCACAAGCCCTCGGCTTTAGGTATGCCCGCCTGCCTTTACATTTTGATTCTGCGCATATTATTTATTAGAGTTATACTGTTCAGGAATGTGAAAATATGTCAGTGTCTGGTGAGCATATAAGCTAAACTTATAGCTTATTTAATTAATTTATAAGCTACATGTATTCAAATAAGTTTGGACGTGGTAGGATGAATTTTTTCATAAGCTTTTTCTTGGGTAGCTTTTCAAATAAGTCCATTGAAAATTTTATTTAACCTAACTTATCAGTCAAATTTACCAAACATTTTTATCATATAAGCTAGTTTTTTCAGCCATAAGCTATCAGCTATAAGCGTTTTTTCAGCCATAAGCTATCAGCTATAAGCTCGACATTCACTTGAAAGCTAGTTTATCAGCTAGGTTTACCAAGCATAGCCTAACTTGTTGCAACACTGAAGGATTACACTAAACTCTATGTCCCATTTGGATGACTTGGGTATGTTTTAAATGCGAACTTTTTTCTTTTTCGCAAAATTTGGACAGGGTTTGAAGTGGCCTCGGTTGCATGTTGTGCATCGGGGATGTTTGAGATGGGATACATGTGTGATCAAATGAATCCGTTCACATGCTCGGATGCAAATAAATACGTATTCTGGGATTCATTCCATCCAACGGAGAAAATGAGTCGGGTTATTGTGGATTACCTGCTGAGCCATAGCTTGCATGAATTTTTATGAAATCTTTGCTACCCTTATTTATTAGTAATTATTTGTATTCTGTATCAGGCTACTTGTTGATTTATATCTCCAGCAGCAAGTAGTGCCTATGTTTCTATATAATATTTCAGAATTATTATGTCTCACTATATGTATTTGCTTTCAGTCCTTGTTTCATTCTGAATGTAGTGTTCCCTATATTCTCCTAGAAGAACAGTGTTCTCTGTATTTCCTAGAGGAATAATGTGATATTAGCTTGTTTTATTTATTTGATCCCATGGATTCAGTTTGGATCAGGGCGGAACTGCATAGGGGCCCGTAGGGGCACGGCCCCTGTAGAATTTTATGTGTGTGTAACTGTGTATATAGATATATATGTTTATTATCTTGATATAAAAAAATACATGTTATTAATTATTATGTATAGTTATTTTAATATAAATAAATAAAAAAATGTTTAGAATTATTAACCTTACTAGTATGTTATTTTTTAAGTTGTAGAATTTATGCTTATGTTATTACTCAACTTCTTGTTTATTTTTTTTTCATTTACAAAATACATTAAAAAACAAATATATATATATATATAAATATATATACTATATAGGGGTTAAATCACATGTGTCTCTGTTCTTAAATGAGAATAGACTCAACTCTAGCTATTAAATAAGAAATAAAAAATAAGGTGTTTGGTAAAAAAAATAATCTTTTTATTTCTTTTTAGTTGGTTAAATATTTATTTGAGTGTTGACTTCCAACGTTGACCGTTGATCGCAGTTTGTGCCCCTGTTGTCCTTAAAGTCTACGTCCGCCCCTGGTTTAGATGTTAGCAGATCGATATAATGACATGATTGTTATGAGAGAATGACATGAGAATGAAATGATCATTTTCTTACTCATTCCTTATCCCATGATTGATATATTTTTTTGGAAAGGAATGACCATTCCAGTGGCAATGACAAAACCCATCTCCATGGAATTAGCCATTCCATAGTTCATGGAAGATTTTTTCACTCTCATATGTGTAGGAATCAATTTTTCAAAAACTTAAATTATCAAATAATAATAAAAAATAAATATATAATATATTATAAATAATGATTAAAATATATTAAATAAAATTATTTTAAAAAATAAAATTCAAATAAAAATATTAAAAACTTACTTTTATTTATTGTTTAATTAGATATATTAAATACTTATATTAAAATAAAACAAAAAAAGCATTTATATATAATTTGAAAATATATCGATTGAGCAAGAGAACCCGGATCCGCAAGAGCGTGCCACACTATGACATCCACAGTTTTTGAAAGGATTTTATTTTTATATAATTAAAAATATATTATCTTTTATATATTAAAAATATATTACTTTGAAAAATATAGTATTAAAAAATATTAAAAATATAAATTATTAGAAATATATTACTTTTATTTTTATGTATTATTAAAAAAAATATTATTTTAAAAAATAAAATTCAAATAAAAATTGAAAGCTTACTTTTAATTATTGTTTAGTTTAAAAAAATAAAAATGTATATTATTAAAAATATATTATTTTTCATATATTAAAAATATATTACTTTTAAAAATATATTATTTTACTTTTATATATTTTTAAAAATATATTATTTCTTATATTTCATAAAAAATATATTATTTTATTTTTATATATTATTAAAAAAACATTTATAATTTATTAAAAATATATTATTTTTTATAAAAACTTTATTTATTTTTATAATAAAAAATGATAATGTCATTCCATTCAGGTCTTATTCCTTCTGCATACAAAACGCATCAATAACAAAACTTGTTTCATTCCATTCTCATAATCATTCCATTATTCAATTCATTTCATTCCTACAACATTCATTCAATCATTCTATTATACCAATCAGGACCTAAAAGTAGCGAATTAAACCTTAATGAGGGTTTTAACCGTCAAATCTTCTAACTAGTTTGTTGATAAATAACTTATACGATTAGCATTTTGAAATCGCTAAGACAATCAACTAGTCAAATCAAATATTAGAATTCACTAGTAGCTTTTCACTAATACAATCAATTATCTGCTATAAACTAATTGCCAAACAATGTTTTGTGCCCAAAAAAATGACTTCAAACTCAAAACGTTATATGGAGTAAAGATGTAATCTAGCTAAGCCGACCATAGCATTGGTCTTATCGTGTTAGTCTCGATTCTTTTCACTGTTGCCCGAGCTCGACTAGGGTGAATCGAGAAAAATATATATATGCTCGAGATCAACTCGAAACTCACTCTAGTTAATTTTGAATTTTCAATAATTTTCTATTAATATAAGGTTTTCTTTCAAGTTTGGCTAAAATTTAACTCGTGTAATAGGTATTTCTATAAAATAATTTATAATGAAGCGAAGCATGAAGCAAACAATCTCATACACATACATGCTCGATTTTGAGTTCGAGCAACTTGAACTCGATCAAAGTCGAGCCTGAGCGGAACTCGATCAAACTTGAACTTGTGTCCAACTTTGACTCGAGCAACCACAAGTCACTCGATTCGTGTATGCAGCAAAACATAACTTATGCTCCTTAAAACTATCAAATCAAGATCTAACGAGCAGCTGCATTTTTTAGTTGAGTCATTAATGTGAAGGGCATATATTTGCCCAAAATTTGCCACCTGTGAACATATTGCACACATGAACATATGTAAACACGCAACCTACTGCTGGGAACAATAATGCTTTCTTACTTTTTCGGTGGGGGCAATATTGGATCATAAATACTTTCGGCTTAATCAAATGAATCCACCACCTAATTTATTTATATTGTATATTAATTTCATAAATATCAATTGATTAAGATACTCGAGTAAGGGTGTGTATAGGTTAATTGTAGTACGTCTCAAAGAAAGTATTAATAAGATTAGTTGACCGAATGTGATGACTAATCACGAGGGCACTAGGTTCCATTAGAACTTTAGTCCGAGTTATGAATGCAAATAAAATAGGGTAGAGCCGCTCGCGAGCAGTTGAGTCAACGATTGACTTGAGTTTGAGAATTTCGATTACGAGCTCACTTCTGTAGTTTATATATATATAATTACACCGAAATCATTTTTTGTTGAAATTTTGAGGTGAACTCGAGCAAATTTGAGTCGATTTTGGGCGTTTGGGTTATTTTGTCTAGTCATGTCAAACCTAAAATGTTCAGTTGGTCGAGCTCGAGCAACGGTGGGAAAATTGAGTCTGCCTAGGGGTGAGTAATTGTGAGGTTTGGTGCAGAACCTTACAAATTCGGAAAAAGAAAGTGAAAAACGGAACCTATAAATTAATTAATTGATCGCACCATGATATAGAAAGCCCCGAACCAAAATTGAACAATTGTTTTTACATTAAAAAATTGAACCTACAAAATGCACAATTCTGCTCGATTTTTTTATTAATTTATACTTAATATAGTTAGGTTCAGGGCAAACCTACACCTACAAAAACGGATTTGCAAAAAATAATAATTATAATTGGGTGCAGCATAGAAAAAACCATATTGAAATTGAAATTGAGATAGCACCACGCATTAGGGGTGAACATCATTGCAGTTCGGTAAAAAACGGCACTGCACACTGTATTAAAATGAAAACCAAAAATCTAAAGTTTATACACCGAACTGCACCACAATAAATAAATAAATAAATAAATAAAATAAAAAACCAAACTGAACAAAATTGAAATTTTCGATTTGGTGTAGTTTTGTTTTTCGGTTAACCAGAATTTGAAAAATGCAAAAACACAAATCAAAGTTAAAACCATACAAATCAAACTCTAAGCTAAACATGAATTGAAGTTCACTATTTTTTTTTTTTTTTAATGTTTAAACTTTAAAGTTAATTAATTATAGATGAAAAATCGTGTAAGACTTTAGGAGTTTAAGCAAATATACTAACAACTTTATTTGACACATCAAAGTTCGGTGCGATTTGGTTAAAACCTCACCGTTCATACTTAAAATCGAACTGCATTGCAAATCGAATCTTTTAAATCCCGAACCTCACCGCACCGAACGCATTAGGCTTTCAGTGCGATTTTGCTCACCCTTATCAATCATAACTTGACTCTTTCGCTGACCCCTTGGTCTAGATCTAGATTGACACTCAATTTGATTATGACTCGTTTGTTAATCCAGTCATGATTGTGAAACTATCTTGATTTTATACTTTAATAAGCATTATTAATTACCAATTTCGTGAATAAAACTTGAGGGAAAAGTGCAAAGGGATAAAAAAAATTATAAATTGGGTAAAATTTTCTTCTTTTCTTTTGTTTTCTTTAAAGCATGATAAAGGGATAATCAATGGGTAAATTTTGTTACCTTTCTTAATTTGCGGGGTATAAAAGTAATATAATACCACATCTTTGAGGTCTCAAAGTGCAAATATTCCTAAATCGCTGAAAACCCACACACAGTTATCGGCTGCGGACTTCCCCACCGTCGACTCAGTGGACTCTCCTGATGGACGTCCTCTTCGATACAATCAACGTCCAGGATCTTCTTTCCTCGCCCGAATCCGCCTCCTCGCCGCTATCGGCGCCGGATCTTCGCCTCCTCATATCTCGCCTCGACGCCCACTCGCTGAGGATCAAATCCACCGTCCAATCGTACCTCCTCGCGCACCACGACGAATTCGCCTCCCTGTTCTCCCAGTGCTCCGACATCGTTTCCAGGTCGGAGCGTCTATCGGACGATGTCGTAGCGCTGCTCAAGCTGATATGCGATCAGCCAATCGAGGCGGATGTCGGAAGGATCGTTCGGAAAATTGTGGAGAAGAGGCTGGAGGCGAGGGAGAAGAGGGAGGTTCTGCAGTTTGTCGGGGTTGTTTTGGAATTAGATAGAAAGTTTGGGGTGGTTAGAGATGATGTGAAAAGTGGTAGGGTGGTTGAGGCGGCGGATGGACTGAGGGAGCTGAAGATTGCCATTGGAGTTGGGGGCGGCAGCGATGCTGAGGTGGCAGCCGAAGGTGAGCCGGAGGTGTATGGGATTCTCAAAAGGCAATGGACGGAATGTTTTGAGGAGGTAATTAAGCTATTATATTTAGCTTCCGTTATCATTTTTTATTTTCCATGTTTACTTGTATAGTAATATCTTCATGGTGCTAGCTCAAATTTTATTTTTGTATCAGTTAATGGATTATGTGTTAGGGTATAATTCTACAATGTGATGTTATGCCAAGAGCTTATTGTATTTTGTGTTAATGAATGAGCATATAGATGTACTTCTATCTTACAAGATTACTTGTGTCGTGTATCGCATCATTTTAAGGCGTGCTGCTTGTAGTTAAGTTTAGATGTACTTTTGTTATGGGTCTATCTTAATCACGGTATGATTATTTTATTGAAATTTATGATTCCCTTTTTAGATCCATTCAATTTGGATGTAGATTCAAGAGCTGCTTTTGAGGTTTATGGAGAAAGCAGTGAAAATTGAGCAGGGCGGTAATGCACTGCATATTAAGCATCAGATGAGTGTGAACGGGATTGATGGGCTAGAGCTATACACTGTTTTGAAAGCACTGGATGTGAGTTATCTTTACTGTTGTATCTATTGATATGTAATGCTGATTAAGGGAACATTTTAGTTCCTTCTCTACCAATTCCATGACTATGAGTATTGCACATACTGCTTATGTAGGTTGCTGGCATACTCGATTATGGGCTTGCTAAAGTTGCAGACTTGATTATTAAATATGTTCTTACTCCGCTAGTGAGTTGTACTGCGACTCCATATATAGAAGAAATCAATCAGGACTCGGGCCATGCCCCAGAGGCAGTGTTTACAATGGTTCCTTCTGTTGATCCTGGGGTACGTGTTACGAATATGGCATTCGTGATTATTATTTTTTCTCTTGTATCTAGCTTGTTCGTTCATCAAAGTATGTTGTTGAATAGCAAACCATTTGCTCATAGTTTTGAAATTCTTATATTTCCATGTACTCCAATCTTCTTTGTACTGCAGGGTAACAAGGTGAATGGTGAAATTATGTACTCCAGCATTCTTAAGATCGTTGAGTTTGTTAACAAGTTCTTAGTCTTTCAAAATAGTTCTTGGATGTGCTGTTTCGGAAGATTGACTTGGCCACGGATGTCAGATATGATTATTTCCAATTTTCTTTCCAAGGTCTGGTCATTATTGTTTTTGCAGTTTTTTTCTAAATGTCAGTGATAGGTATTCTCCGAAGAACTCTTGAAATATATACATGCTGTTTGCATTGGTACTCTGCAGTCTGCATTAAAAAATTGTAGTTAACAATAGTTTTACATATATAAAGATTATCACTTTCACATGTTTGGTAGTCAGAGTATCATCCACTTTGAATTCAGGTTGTGCCTGATGATGCTTCCAAGCTGGCTGAGTTCCAAGAGGTCAGAAAACTAACAATTGATTTTGAGGCAGCTTTAAAGGAACTTGGGTTCATATCCCCATCTGACATCAAGGATGAGAAACTAAGCAGATTTGCTGACAATGTTGAGGTTCACTTTGCATCACGAAAGAAAGTTCAGATTTTGTCTAAGGCCAGAAATATGCTTCTGCAATCTAATTTTAGTCTTCCTCAAGTGAGTATACAATTCAGAGCTCTTCTGATACTTTGTGTTTGTCAGTTAACCATCGTTGTTTCTGCAGGACTTCATTATGAAAATTTCAGGGGTCCATAAGGAACAACATGCTGGAGATATCTCTAACTATGTTGTTCTACTCTTCTCATCTGAGAAATGCGTGGTGTCTGAGGCAGCCAAACAGCTAATGGAGCTTGTGCATCAAACACTTAAGGTCAGTTAACTGTGCGCAATGCAGCGCCTATTTTCTGGTGCAGTTGTAGAGTACAAGTGTTATAAAGCCAAAATTGAGTCTCTGTGAGGATGTCTTCTTTTACTTCGTATTCAGCAGGTTTGAGGGATTAGGGACCCTAACCTTTAGAAGGAAGATGTCGAAAGAAACTTTATAAAATATAGCTTCTCCTTTCTTTTTCTGAGCTAAGTACATTGGTACAGTTGTAGAGTACATGTGTTTGTGTTTTTATAGCTTATTTTCTTTGGGATGGTTTATGCAGGATGTATGTTTGTTACCTCCAAAAGTTGGATTGGAATTCTATCACGCTGCTAGAAAAGCTTTAGTTCTTTATGAAGCTATCATACCTGTGAAGGTTGGTGGAGAATGCATGTGATTAAAAGTCTATGGACTTTTTATATTTGTTTAGGCAGTTATTATCCTGGATTTGTTTAACTTTTCAGTTCACCGTTTGAGAATTCTATAGATGCTGCTCGAGTTTCTATATAGACATGGTAATTTTGTGACACTCTTTCTGGAATTCTTGAAGCTTCAAAGACAGCTGGATTCCATCAACCAGGCTGCTGTTCTGATTCACAATGACTGCCTCTACCTATCTCAGGAGATTCTTGGGCTTGCATTTGAGGTATGCATGAATGTGGTGTTGATGCCTCTTTAATTATGTCTATTTATTAAAATAAGATGAATACTAATATATGAAATTTGGTTTCTTATTCTTTCCGAACTTACATCTTCCTTGGATAGTATCACAAGACTACGCGAGAAATTCTCTATGTTATTGTTCGGGTAGCGGCAGTCTGCTGATGTAATTTGACTAGAGGAATTTGATTCTTTTTTTTTTTAATGAATATTAGTTTGTTTATGTGAGGAATTCTTCATAATCTAGACGCACGTGTAACTGTTCATAATCTTGACGCGTATCTGAAGGATTGTTTGGAAATAAGACCAGTTATTATCTGTTTGAAGAACATGTAATTTTCTTTTTATATATCCTAATGTCTCTTCTGTAATGTCACAGTATCGCCCATACTTCCCCAGTTCTGTGAAAGAACATGTGATATTTATTGATTTGGCTCCCAGATTCCAGCTCATGGCCGAAGATGTTTTGAAGCGACAAATTCAGCTTGTCCTTCATAATTTGAATCAGGTACATATATTTGTTGGAAATTATATCTGCACACATTTTTACATGGTCTTAGTTTTTAATCTGATCCGATGTATTTTCTTTTTATTTGCTAGGCTGTTGATGGAGCTGATGGATTTCAAAATACCCACCAGATCAAACAATTTGAATCAGCCAAGTTTTGTATAGACCAGGTATGCAATCGCTTCTATTTCCTTCCTCTTCTCCATTTTTGCCATAGTTTATTTTCAAGACACCTTAAATTTCTTCAGGTTGCTTTCATTATTGAGAAAGTGCACATCATTTGGGAGCCTCTCTTACTTCCTTCAATCTACGAGAAGAGCATGACCATGATTTTAGAATCTGTATTCTCAAGAATTGTAAAAGAGATACTTCTGTTGGATGATATGGCAGCTGAAGAAACTCTGCAGGTACGGAACATGGGCACGCATGCGAAATTTTAGTTGAAAATTCTCAAAGTGCTAAGCTGATTTTTTTTTTCTGTCACACCGTATATTACAGCTTCAAAGACTCATCCATTTGCTATTTGAGCATCTCTCGTCTTTATTGGAGCCCCTTTTGGCCTTTGACCGCACAGGAAGGACACAAGATGGCCAGAATGACACCGATTCTTTTATATTATCCATTCGGAAGCTCAGAAAATTGGCAGGTACCATTCTACTTGCTTTCTTTCTTATCCTTTTTTGGCATAATTATAAAATCTGCCCCTTAGTTCTGAACTAGTTAAGAAAAAAGCACTGTTTCTCTTTTAAAAAAAAATTCCCATGAGTTTTCTCTTTTGTTTTTTTTCAGTTTTGTTTTGTACAATTTCAGCACTCTTGACAGGTACACATTAACACACAAAAATTATCATTTAATAAGAAACTGAATGATTGCACGCTGAACCTCGATGTTTATTTGTAGAGAGTTTTGATCATTTCACATCAGACCTTATTTAAATATTTTTTCTGCCTCTTCCCTTAGAACTTCTGGACATGCCTTTGAAGTCGATTACTGAGGCATGGGAGAGTGGCGAACTTTCTGACTGCAATCTAACATCATCCGAGGTATGAAAATATTTTACTTTGTAAATCCCATCCCCAACACCGTTATGTATACCAATGCATCACTAAACAACGCCATCGAGTGAATGGAATAGTTATAAGAATCGAAGAGAATTTATCTTTCTTTCATTTTTCTTTTCCCTTGCTAATTGCTACTTTGTTTTCTCATTTGCAGGTGGAAGATTTTATAAGGGCCATCTTCACGGATTCGCCTCTGAGGAAAGAATGCTTATTCAGAATTGAGAACTCGAATATGAGGTAAAAAAAAAATGGACTCGTTATTGCAATTTTCGAGGGGACAGGCGATGTAGAAAAAGTAAAAATACTAGCAAAGGATAGAAGCTGTTCTAGCACAAGGCTTATATAACATTTTTTTTTTTTTT